AGACCTAGGGGTACTTGTAAGCCTGGACCTTCGGCCTAGAAAACAGTGCGTTAATGTTCGAAATAAAGCAAACAGAGTCTTAGGTTTTATATCTAGAAGTGTAAGTAATAAGAGTGCAGAGGTCTTATTGCAACTGTATCTTGCGCTAGTCAGGCCGCACCTCGATTATGTGGTTCAGTTCTGGTGCCCTTATTATAGAATGGATATCAATTCACTGGAGTCGGTGCAGCGAAGAATGACGAAAATAATTCCGGGAATTAGAAACCTTCCATATCAAGATAGATTAAAGAAACTAAACTTGCATTCCCTAGAAAGACGAAGAGTGCGGGGAGATATGATAGAAGTATTTAAGTGGGTGAAAGGAATAAATAAAGGAAATATAGATAAAGTTCTTATAATATCCGAGCAAGATAGGACTCGTAGCAACGGATTTAAGTTGGATAAGTTTAGGAGGGAGATAGGAAGGAACTGGTTCACAAATAGGGTGGTGGACGAGTGGAACAAGCTTAGCAACTTGTAGTAAGTGCTGGAACTCTGGAAAGTTTTAAAAGGAGGCTAGATAGATTCATGGATGATAGAGTGGTAGTAACTCTCGACAGGAGCTGCCATGCACAGGCCAACCGGCCTATTGCAGATTCCTTATTTTCTTATGTTCTTGTGTAACCTTAGTCTAGCGGTTACATTACCTTGTAATCTAGTGATCTTGTTACTTGCTCCATATACATGTTTCACTTGATACATCTCATCATGGTAAACTATGGATCGACTAGTGCCTGTTTGCACTTGTGTGATTGCGTCAAAGTCATCAACAAGTTCCTTCTTAACTACAGTTTTAAGGGTTCTTTTTGACTGACCCAGATATATTTAACAGTGCCTTTGTTGGACGCGAATCTGGCGAGGGTATCGACTCCGTTATGTTCTTTGAGGCCTACAGTATGTGAGAGGGGAACCACAACAGTTTGATCTTGACACCCCGGTCAACAAGGCACGCATATTTGTGTCTGGCTTCAGAGACAAGCGCGTGACAACTTGAGTCGAGGGTGTCAAGGGCAAGTAGTGAGGATAGAGAGTCAGTGATGATGAGACTGTCAGTGACAGTGGTTTCAATGAATTTAATAGCTGTGAGTATGGCAACTAATTCAGTTTGAAGAGTGGATGCCCAGTTGATAACTCTGAGCCCCTTTCTCAATTATATTACCGTCAGGTTGAGTCACAAGAATAGCACTTCCAGCCCTCCCACAGGCGGTGTTAAGAGAGCCATCAGTGTAGATGGTCTGTGTGATATTATCATCAGTCTGTAGAGTGTGTATGTGTTCAAGAGCTCTCACTTGGGCAGTGTGTTGGAGATATATACTTTGTATAATAATTTTTTTAGGCGCCAGAGTGGAAGGTTCATACATTCTATCAATTTTAAGGAAACAATGTTATCAGGATCACCACGCAGAAGCCTCAGGGCTATCATGAGGTTAACTTCAATTATTCTATCTTTAACACTGGGTATACCTAGTTCTTTCCTCATATTAAGTACTTTAGTGCTCATGGGACATCCTAGGATAATTCTGAGGGCTTTATTTTGCATTTTTCGAGCTTGTCAACACCTTTCCCGTCACGAAGGACGTGAGTGTTTGTGTGTGTTTACAAAGTTATTCAGCAGCTAGAGTTTACTACCCCGACATACTCACCAGTAGTGTTCTGGTTTGGTTGACCAGCCCACACCGTGCACCCAGCGAGACCCACCCACACTGTACACCCACCCACACCGTACACCCAACCAGATAAGGGCGGCGGTCTCTTTAGTACTTCATCATGTAAAACCCCGTCCACACGATCGAGCAGTGCCGGGCGGGCTTTGCCCGTTTACCGGGCAAAGCCTGTGTGTTGTTGTACACACGGGGGTGGTTGGCGGCAGTCATAGTCGGGCGCCGGTAGCTAGTAGGTGGTCGGCAGTGGCGGGTGCGGTACGATCACCATGGTGTGTAGCAGGAATAATCGCCGGACAGTTAAAGCGAAGAGCATAGCGTTGTGTACTATAATAATTGCTGCTATGTGTAAAAAGAAGAACCAAATGCAGAAAAGGGAATGGTGCAAAGAGTGGTTAGGTCGAAGAAAAGTATTGGGAAGTCATGCCACGATTTTACGTGAACTGCAAGATGGACATGAGCAAGACTTCACCAATTACATGAGAATGGACCCCAACACCTTTTACAGACTTCTAGCGAAAGTGGAACCATATATAAAAAAACAGGATACCAATATGAGGGAGAGTATATCTGCAGAGGCTTGTCTAGAGGCAACGCTCATATATCTTTCAACTGGGTGCACCTACACGTCACTTCGGTATAGAACGAGGATATCAAAACAAAGTTTGTCTCGCATAATACCTGCAACTTGTCAAGCCATGTATGAAGTACTCAAGGAAGATTACTTGCAGGTGAGATTTGTAGTACATAAAAATTCATTGAATAATGTTAGAATTATGATATGCATAGACAGGAAGCCATGGGACTAGAGTGAGGAGAGCGGCAGGAACGAAGAACACACACGAATGTCCTCGTTACGTAATGCATAAACAATCTCCCGTTTATTGTCACGCCAATAATGTACAGTGCATAAGCTTATTTGGTTATATACTGGACATCTGGACCGAGCGGGGAACATATAGCCTACGTATCACATTTGGAAAGTCTTCGCTCCATACCCGGCAGCAAACCACCAGGCAGGCGGACCATGATTTCTCTCAACGACGGGCATGGGCACTCCGCTGGTTTTTCCCGCCAATTTTGCCCGATAACGGGCATTTAGCGCGTGCCTGCCGGGCACTGCTCGATCGTGTGGACGGGCCTTTAGACACAGACGTGGGATTACCATCCTGACAACACCAAGCTTATCTGGGTCACCCTCACTGGTACACCCCGTGATAGCTCCGACGTACAAGTAACCAACGATAAACTGACACCATTGTAAGTTAAATGTAAGTAATAGTCCTGATGGTAGCAAGATAGTCCAGTGTTTGTTAAGTGACTACAGTACGGTTATGTCGCTTCACTTTATTAAGAAACACTCGAGAGGTATTTCTACATCGTACTACAGTTTCATAATGCTACAGCAACCAAGATACTAAGTGGTGTTGTACAGAATGGTATGTTAAGTAATACTGTCTTATGACTTAAAGGAACTTGTTGATGTTGAGTTTACAACTAATTAGGTGAGGGAGTTTTCCTGTACCTCTTCCTCCCTTCTCCTCTCTCCTCCCCCTTCTATCTTCCCTCTCTCCTCTCCTCCCCCTCTATCTTCTCTCTCTCCTTTCCTTCTATCTTCCCTCCTCCCTCCTCCCCTCTCATCTTCCCCTCTCCTCCTCCTCCCCCTCATCTTCCCTCTATCTTCCCTCCTCCCTCCCTCCCCTTCTATCTTCCCTCTCTCTCCCTCTCCCTCCCCCTCTAGCTTCCTCTCTCCTCCCTCCTCCCCCTCTCCATCTTCCCCCTCCTCCTCCCCTATCTTCCCTCTCTCCTCCCCCTCTTCTCCCTTCTCCTCCCCCTCTATCTTCTCCCTCTCCTTTCACACTTGTTGTATCTCACACCTGTTATGTTGCCCAACAGAGATCCTTTCTGTTATTAATGTATTCCTGAACGCAACACAAACTGTCATGTTCTGACTCTAGAGGACTCTGAACGTTTGATAAGAGAGAGAGAGAGAGAGAGAGAGAGAGATGTCATACTTCATCCTTGATCGCAGGAGAGTCAAGACCTAGCCGACGCTACTGCTGCGGCAGCTGCCAGGACCAATTGTTGGGCCATAGCCGCAACTCCCTCCTCCTCCTCCTGCTCCCCAGCAGGACGTCAACAAAGTTCCACCAAAAGTGTCAATTTCGTTTCGGAAAGGAGTGGAATCAGTGTTTAGGCCAGTGAAGTCAGCAGTAGACAGTGGCAGCCGAGAGTCGTGACCAAGTTGACCGTCACACACACCCTTGAGGCCCCACCTCCCTGAGATAAGCGCCCCTGGGCCCCACCACCCTGCCCTGGGCCCCACCACCCTGCCCCTGGGCCCCACCTCCACCTTCTGACCAGGCGGTAGTGTTAGTCAGTCCACTCTGGGAACAACCGGGGGTCGGCTTTACACCTGACCATAAGCCAGGTGGTGCAGGGAGCCACACTACACAGCCAAGTGGTGCAGGGAGCCACACTACACAGCCAGGTGGTGCAGGGAGCCACACTACACAGCCAGGTGGTGCAGGGAGCCACACTACACAGCCAGGTGGTGCAGGGAGCCACAACACCTGCAGGGCCCGAGAAGGTAATGGCCGTGATGGTGGACCTCCTCCCGGGCGACGCTGTTGAGTAATTGGATAATTTCCCATTTGTGAGTTCCTGACAGAGCAGTTTAGGATGGTAGGATGGTCAGTAGGATGGGCCTGAGGATGAGAGAGAGAGAGAGAGAGAGAGAGAGAGAGAGAGAGAGAGAGAGAGAGAGAGAGAGAGAGAGAGAGAGAGAGAGAGAGAGAGAGAGAGAGAGAGAATATTCCCACAGAAGGTATACAAAGAGTGGCTTAAAACCCTCTACTCACACACACACACACGTCCTCCCAGTTCGAGTCGTATTAAGCTTACTTGGTCAATCAACACCAGCTGAGCAGACAGGGGCTGAAGTACACATTAAACTGAAGGTAATCTCACTGAAGCTCTGACGTAATTGTTAACAGGAGGTCTTTGAATATCCGACCATTAGACGTAAACTATTAACCAATTATAGCGTCTGTTTATTATTGGAATGTTAAAATAGCTCCGCCTTCTTTCTCTCGTCTTGGCATGTGATTGACCAGTTAAGAAACAAATAATTACTCATATTATATAGATTGACTAAAATTTGCTTCCACAGACGATATAACCACATTAGCCAATCACAAAACCGTACGTCATAGTGGTGGGCGGGGCCTACGTCACACACCAACACCTCCACCCATACAACACCACCCATCACACCCCTCCTACACACACAGTCCTTACCTCAAATCTGGGCTCGTTGTACTGCTCCACGGTGAAGAAGTGTTGGGTGAAGGAGTTGGTGGCCTCTACCCTGATGGTCCACTTGCCGTAGAATGGCTCCTCGCTCAGGGTGAACTCCAGAGACACCGGCCCCTCGCGGCACTGTCGGGGGAACAAGGGGATAGTTTGGGTCCTTATTTGTTATCTTTCTATCTATCTATCTATCTATCTATCTATCTATCTATCTATCTATCTATCTATCTGCCTGCCTGTCTGTCTGTCTATCTGCCTGCCTGTCTGTCTGTCTGTGCCATTTTGACGCGTTTTGTCTTTCTCATAACAGGGTGACCAGGCATATATGTTCACCTTGACAACAAGATTGGGTTGGGTTAGGTTAGGTTAGGTTAGTTTATTTTGAGTTAGGTTAAGTGTCTATTCTTCAGGTGATCATTAAAATTATCCGAGAATTTTAAGAAAAGTTGAACCTTAATAAAAAAGTGAGCCAGGTGAGACACATACACACACACACACACACACACACACGTAACTACCTGGAACCCGTACAAGGTGTTTGATCCCTTGTGTTAAACTGGCAGGTCCCTCGGCTCACTCTATGTATGGTTTCAGGCGAGTTTTGTGTGTGTAATAATAATAATAATAATATATAATAATATATATATAATAATTAACCGTGTACTGAAGAGCATGGCAGCAGGAAGGCTGAAAATATACAGTTACATAATTGGGGAATGGGTCTCTTGATTTACAAATAATATACAAGTAACATAAGTGATACAAATATGATATATAACAACTAGGTGGGGCTCAAACTACAGGGCATTTCAACATAGTGACAGTGCAAAACGGTAAGATTGACTGGGAGTGAATACACTGGTTGATTACAAGTTATTGATAATTTTAATGGTTGGGACTGAGCTGTTCTTATAGCGATCAGTTCATGGTCCTATGGGCTGGAAGCGGTTGTGGTGTCGAACAGCAATTCTCAGGCCAGTCTCAGGTAGTAGGAGCCGGTGTCGAGGATGGTGTGTTGTGTGTGTTTCTGAATCAGTGCTCTAATGACCTGGAGTCACTCCACCACCCTGAGTCACTCCACCACCCGAGTCACTGCCACCACCCTGAGTCACACCACAACCCGAGTCACTCCACCACCCCGAGTCACTCCACCACCAGCAGTCACGCCACCACCCTGAGTCACGCCACCACCCTGAGTCACGCCACCACCTGAGTCACGCCACCACCCTGAGTCACGCCACCACCCTGAGTCCACCACCACCTGAGTCACTCCACCACCTGAGTCACTCCACCACCCTGAGTCACTCCACCACCCTGAGTCCACTCCACCACCCAGGTCACTCCACCACCTAGTACTCCACCATGAGTCACTCCACCACCGAGTCACTCCACGATCCTCCACCACCCCGAGTCCTCCCTCACTGAGTCACTCCACCACCTGTCACTCCACCACCCTGGTACTCCACCACCCCTGAGTCGCTCCACCACCCGAGACACTCCACCACCCCCTGAGTCCTCCACCCAGGTCACTCCACCACCCTGAGTCGCTCCACCACCCCAGGTCACTCCACCACCCTGAGTCACTCCACCACCCCGAGTCCTCCACCAGTCCTCCTCCAGGTCACTCCACCACCCTGAGTCACTCCCACCACCTGAGTCACTCCACCACCTGAGTCACTCCCACCACCCCGAGTCACTCCACCACCCTGAGTCACTCCACCACCCTGAGTCACTCCACCACCCCTGAGTCACTCCACCACCCCGAGTCGCTCCACCACCCGAGAACCTCCACCACCCCTGGGCCTCCCACCACCCTGAGTCACTCCACCACCCAGAGTCACTCCCACCACCTAGTCACTCCACCACCCAGTCACTCACCCACCTGAGTCCTCCACCACCTGAGTCACTCCACCACCCTGAGTCACTCCACCACCCCGAGTCACTCCCACCACCTGAGTCACTCCACCACTGAGTCTCCCACCACTGAGTCACTCCACCACCCAGTCACTCCACCACCCTGAGTCACTCCACCACCCTGAGTCACTCCACCACCTGAGTCACTCCACCACCCCGAGTCACTCCACCACCCTGAGTCACTCCACCACCCTGAGTCACTCCACCACCTGAGTCCTCCACCACCCCGAGTCGCTCCACCACCCGAGACACTCCACCACCCTGTTACTCCACCACCTGAGTCACTCCACCCTGAGTCACTCCACCACCTGAGTCACTCCTACGACCAATACACACAAAGTGTTCTCTTCTCCATCGTCATTCTTATCACAGTCTAGTTTCGCTCAGCTCCATTACACAAAGTGGCCTCCCTCACACCTCACTGTTGGCACTAGAGGCACTGTTGGCACTAGAGGCACTGTTGGCACTAGAGGCACTAGAGGCACTGTTGGCACTAGGGCATTGTTGGCACTAGGGCACGTTGGCACTAGAGGCATTGTTGGCACTAAGGCACTGTTGGCACTAGAGGCACTAGAGGCACTGTTGCACTAGAGGCATTGTTGGCACTAGAGGCACTGTTGCACTAGAGGCACTGTTGGCACTAGAGGCACTGTTATTGGCACTAGACACTGTTGGTACTAGAGGCATTGTTGGTACTAGAGCTGTTGCCACTAGAGGCATTGTTGGCACTAAACTGTGGCACTAGGGCACTGTTGGCACTAGGGCATTGTTGGCACTAGAGGCACTGTTGGCACTAGAGGCACTGTTGGCACTAAAGGCACTGTTGGCACTAGGCACTGTTGGCACTAAAGGCACTGTTGGCACTAAAGGCATTGTTGGCACTAAAGGCACTGTTGGCATTACTACTACTACCCAGCATTAAGAAGAGCTGCTGACCTATGCCATAATTACAGGTATACACTAGGTGACCCCGTACCTCGTGACCTTCTGACCTGACACGTGTAGCCTGACCAGGTGATGTGCAGATCGTGTTTAATAGCTTAGCATTATCCTATTCATGTGTTCTTGAGCACACACACTACCACACACCTGAACATACTACCACACACCTTATAGTTAGGTTAGGTTAGTTTAGGTTAGGTTGGTTAAGGTTAGGTTAGCGTTAAGGTGTTTAATACAGAAGGTGAAATAAACTGGGGCGTCTAATCTTCTCGTTATCTTAATAAACAACAACTTGGAACACGATTTTGGGAAAGGGTGAAACATTTCCCTCCTTCAAACTCATTTCCTAAGTCTCTGTGTTCGTGGCCTCACTGGGTGCTGTAGGAACCCTCGTGTGTGTGTGTTTAGCAGACGGGATATGAACCTGGGGTCTTCGGCTCTCTGCGTCGCATCATATGAGGATGACTGACGCGTGATGCATTTACGTGTGCATTCATGTGTGTGTGTGATGACTGTCATACACACGCTACTGTGCTGATGAAGGCTGCTTGTTATTACCACCGTTGAGAGGAGGAGGAGGAGGAGGAAGATATACAGAGAGGGGAAGCGGAGGAGGATGGAGGATGAGGTAGGAAGGAGAAGGGAGGAGGAAGGATGAGGGAGGAATGGGGTGTGAGGAAGAGATAGGAGGAAGATGTAGAATTAGAGAGAAGAAGAAGAAGGAGGTAAGAGGAACAGGAGGAGGAGGAAGAAAGAAGAAAGAAGAGTACAGTCCCTTCACTAGTGCGTTTACAGGGGCTCGTGCCTATAGCCTAGGTACAGTCCCCTTCACTAGTGCGTTTACGGGGCTCGTCATATAGCCTAGGTACAGTCCCCTTCACTAGTGCGTTTACGGGGCTCGTCATATAGCCTAGGTGATCCCCTTCACTAGTGCGTTTACATGGCTCGTCATATAGCTTAGGTACAGTCCCCTTCACTAGTGAGTTTACAGGGGCTCGTCATATAGCCTAGGTACAGCCCCCTTCACCATGTTTACTATCGTGAGTTTCCTTTTGTCGAATGTCAACAAACACAGAGCTGCCACACTGTACAAAACCTGACGAGTCCCTGTAAACGCACTAGTGAAGGGGACTGTCCACACACACACACACACACATATCAACGTAGCGTCTCAAACATATACATTAACCTAAACTAGCAAACCTGGCCTCTCAAAATACAAAAACAATACTATCCACCTAACACTAAATTAATAACATACAATACCAATATAATTTATCGAACGCCTGGCCTAAAAATACAACAACAAAACAACATCACTGAACCTATTAAACACCTGGTCTAAAAATGAGAACACAAAAGAATCAAACAGCTGTGGTGGAGGGGTGGGGTGGGAGTCTCCTGGCCTGTGTAGTGTGAAATTAGTGCGGCTCTGAACGCTGGTGCTTTAAATAGGCAGAAATGTGTTTACCTCCTGTAGTGTTGGAATAATTGTTACCTCCCGAGCACTGAACAACAACACCGCTCCGAGATAAAAGAGAGTCTAGCATGTTGGCTAAAAAAATATTAACCTATCGAGGGAACCACAACCTGACGAAGACCTCACGAGTTTTTTATAATATCCCAACAGGACCTGACGGAGTTATTGATCGCTGTAGAACTATGAGATCCCCACCAGGATATAAACCCGGACGCCTCCTGAATGCAAACTTCTCGAGTCAAAATAATATGGTGTTTATACAAGCTCGGGGGTTACAGTGCTATACCGTCACACCTACAACGCCCACCTACTGTACACTCACCTACAACACCACCTGCAACACCCACACCTGCAACACCCACCTACAACACCCACTTACAACACTCTCTAAGACTCGTGCAGAAGACAACATTTCAAAGGTTAGGTTAGGTTAAGTTAGGTTAAGGGTCGAGGTTTATAGCGAGAGATGACCTAGTCGGCCACCAGGGGTTTATCCCGGCGCGTGAGAGTGAGAGCCTGACACACACTGGAACATGTTGAGGTAGTCATCCGAGATCATACACGACCTCTTTATGGCTGTGGGTAAATTTTTTCTTTTTAGCTGTAGGTTTACCTTGTCTTTCTAACTATGGGTAAACCTATTCTTTCCAGCTATGGGTAACAGAACTGACCGACTACGCAGCAAACAGAGACGATGATGAGGAAGTACTGTAAGGTAAGAGAGGAATATTGACTCACCTGGCGAGACATCCACCGCCTGACCAAGACGCCCCACGGGTTTAGGATGAAGACGTCCACTGAATCTTCGACCATCTTGACGGCCGTGTTCAGAGCCACCACCCGGAACCGAACTGAAGAAGGAAAACCAAACGTTAATGAAATGGTGTTATGTAAGTCAAGAGTAACTCACACATGACTCGGATACACAACACATATAACACTGACACACACACAGTTTTTTCCTTTAATTCTGACAGCTGGTATGTTTGTGACTGTTGTTGGGATAAGGGCCGGAGATCTTGTTCCCTTGAGGCACCACAGAGCAGACCTGAGCAAAGAGAATGATAGGCCCCTCAGGTCCCGATGTAGGTCAGCGACCTTTGCGGGTGGCTAACCCACAAAAAAAGACCGACATACCTTCCACTGGCCAATCGTACCTTAGAGCAATGACGTCTGTGTATTCTTGTTTATTAAGGCTGAAGCCTTTTACATTTATTGGTAAAGCTGTTAGCCAGTTTGAGGCGTCCACCTACTGTGCTACCTCTACTTTGTTCTTTACAGTCTCTGGTTGCTTCAGTATTTGAAGTTTTTTGCTTGTGGTGCACTGGCGTTCTGTCGTAATGGAACGTCGAATTTCGCATATTTCGTTGGTGTCTACATCACTCGCGGTATTCTGACCTACTATGTGCTCGGTGAAGGCTGCAGTGAGCTTGACAGAGTTCTGATGTTCAGAGGCATCAAGCTTCTCCGGGTTAGTGATCCCCATTCCTCCTAGTCTCGGTGGTAGTACAAGGAGTGACCTTTCTGCTGGGGTTAGGTGGTGACTTTTCACAGATGTTGGAATAAATTCGTTCCTGATGGCATCGTGTAAATGGCGGGGGAGAGGTCTGATGTCAGTGTAATGGGCCCCTGTCTCATCAACAGAACATATTATATAAATGGGTCAATACATCTGATATTATATTCAGATTCACCACCCTGTAAACTTCCACTGGCTATGAGGTGACATGTTCAATGCACGTGATAAGGTGTGCCCACTGGAAGCTGCGTCATACTATGCTGAGTAAAGGAATAAGTAGCCGCTCTCTGGCCACCTAAAAGCAGTGTTTGATATCCTTGACTAAGGGAAGACGTTATTTGAGAGCCGCAGTGGATGGCTCCGTCTTCCTTTGAAGGAACAACGTACCCATACCGATCTCCCTCGATGGGTCACTACTCCAGAGTCCTCACAGCAACTTATATAAAGGACGTGACCTAACGTTTCTATTACATAAACGCCATCCTTTCTCATTCACTCATATACAGTGGAACTTACGGTCGATCTACACTCAGGAATTATAGATACAACCCTTTTATAATAAAACAAGAAACTACAGTTTGGGTTTCGTTACTTAAACCCAAATAATAAATATATGTGAACGGCCTGGTTAATTGGACAATCCAGCCGATTCATCAGGGATAGTGTGCATCAAGTAATGTGGCTCAGTCTTAGTGATTTCTGACAGAGCTTGGCTTTACTTCACCCACTCGTTTACCTTTCCATTTACGTATTCGGTATTGAAATCTTCCGTGCCGATTACCACGCCTAGATGCCTTTGTCCGTCTTTTGTTATTTTGACCTCACTGAACACCTCTATAGCCTGGTCATTATATTCTGGCTTCACAATGAGGACAGATTTGCTGGCCTTTGGGTGGTGTCACCAAATTTGTGGATCATGTGATGTCGTCAGGTCTCACTATTTTTGTTTATCCTCAACTTTTCCTGCTCCTGTGAGGTCATTAGTGTACTTTACCTGTTTGATCTTTGGTTGGCTCATAATTTAATCAATCTTGAAACACGGATACGCCTGATGCATACATTGCCATGGCGACTGGGTGTGACTCTGTGACGTTCTCTCGGCTGCTGCTGCTATTACTACTCATACTGTACCTTCTGCATCATCATCACCACTACTGCTACTTCTACTACTAGTACTAATAATAATAAACCTGGATCACATTAAGGCATTATCAAATATACACATCAATATAGTCCACCTGTTAGCAGTGTATCAAGGCTCGATGGTATGTGATACACTCCACCTCTCGACATATCCACTGATCAAACACACAAATGAATAAATCCTATAATGTCACTCACACACACACACACACACACGCACACACACACACACACACACACACACACACACACACACACCCACCTGTGTCGCCTTGCATGTAGATAGGTTTGTCAGTCTGCACGAGAACAGTGGCGCCCCTGGGACTGAAAACCAACACTGTCTCGTTGACGAAGGAGGAACCGGTCAGGCCCCCGATCTCGTTCCCTTCCAGACGAAGACGATACTTGCCGCTGGTGCTGCCTGGGGGAACCTAGGGAGGAAGAGGAGAGGTTAGTGCTGGTGTAGAGGGAGAAGCAGGGAGGAGAGTGGTGGAAAGGAGGGAGAGAGAAGTGGGGAGGAGAGGTGGAAGGAAGGGAGAAAGAGAGAGGTAGGGAAGGAAGATTAGAGAGAGTTAGTATTGGGGTATAAAGAGAGAAGGGTGGGGAGGGAAAAGAAAGAAGAGAGGATAAACTATACCTCAAAAACACACATATACAAAACAATGGTGAGAACTTGTGGTGTAAACAAACACGTCAGAAAAAACAACAAACAAAAAAAAAAGAGGGTTAATAAAATACAAACAAAACACGACAAGACCAGCTCGATCATAACACATAACACACCTGAACGTTACCTGGGATTCTCACCTTTACAGTTCCCATCAATAAGATCTAAACTCCCTTATAAAAACTATAAGAGTGAAAATGGGAGAAAATTTGTGAAAATAGGTGAATGTTGGTAAAGCACAGTGAATATTATGTCTACATTTGGTTTATGAGGTTAGGTTAGATTACGTTAGGGTTTGGTTAGGTTAGATCAGGTTAGGTTTTGGTTCGATTAGGTTAGATTAGGTTAGGTTAGGTTAGGTTAGGTTTCATCAGGTTAGGTTTTCAACGACCTAAACTACTCCTCCTACAGCAGGCATCGTGAGAGCTTCGTCAGGTGACCATCATTAAGGGACGTACTGTACTGTGGTGGCGTGAACGAGGTAATCCACTCCCCGGCGTAATTACTGGGACAAGCTGGTTAGAGGCAGTTGAGTGTCGTCACCCGTGGTTAACATTTAAAGTTGGGTGGCCGCTCTGTCCACTGAAGCTTAACAATGCCAGAGTTTCAACCATTAGCGTTTAACGAAGTAGAGGTTGCGACTAGTGTTTAACGAAGAAGAATTTTCGTTCACTGATATTTAACGAAGTAAAAATTGGGCTTGGCGTTTAACGAAGTATAAGTTCCGACTGGTGTTTAACGAAGAAGTTGCGACTGGTGTTTAACGAAGTATAAGTTCCGACTGGTGTTTAACGAAATAGAATTTTCGTTCACTGTTTTAACGCTTCATTTACCCCACTGATCAGACGGCAGAGTGGAATTTGATTAATTAGTCTTCCTGAGAGCGAGACGTGTCGAGTGTCAGGTTGAAAAACACAAGAGGCGCTGGACAGAAGGAGCACTGCTAGGACCGCTGTGAGGTGAAGGCATGTCTGGGGCCGCGTCTTGAGTTTGCAGATAGTAATGAAAACAGACACCTGGGCTGAGAGATAACAAGGTATAAGATAACACAGGTAAGTAAGGTCAGGTAAAGGTCAGAGGTGAAGGTCAGAGGTGAAGGTCAAAGGTGAAGGTCAAGGTGAAGGTCAAGGTGAAGGTCAAAGGTGAAGGTCAAAGGTGAAGGTCATAGGTGAAGGTCAAAGGTGAAGGTCATAGGTGAAGGTCAAAGGTGAAGGTATGTGGGTGTTTGTACGATTAATCTATCAATAGTAGAGGATTTTTATTGAATCTCAGAATAGTTCAGTGTTAATTATGACAGGTGATTAATTTAAAGGTGTGTTGTCCATCTACACACACACACACACACACACACACACACACACACCTCAGGCCATCATTAACCAACGTTTCCCACTTTCTTTACTCTCTTTTAATTAGTTTTGGTCTCCTTCTTAAAACTTTTATAATGTTCTCAAAATAATAATACTTTGTGTTCATAAGGCCACATACCCTGGCCCCTCAAAAGTTATAATTAATGTGTTTTATCAGACTTTGGCCTTGTTAACTGCGTGTTTTGTGGTGTATGTCTCAAAAATAATAATACTAATAATAATAATAAGATAATAACAAAAACAATAATAATAATAATACAACATAAACTTCACTACACAGTCTAAGAAACACTAACAAAACTATGGTCCGGAACGAAAAATTATAATGTGATTTTTTGCCTTTTATGGCCTGAGGCAATCTAAAGCCGACTCCTATTGACCTGAGTTGACGGGTTAGGTTAGGTAAGTTTGGGTTGGGTTGGGTTAACATGACGATAATATAGGAAAGAGAGTAGGTTAAGTTATGAGAGAGAGAACATTCAGAACGACCAACACAATTTAAGAACATCCTTTTTCTTTTCCCACCCAAAATTTTTCACTCAAGATGTTAGTTTTCCCCAGGAGGAGCGAGCAATCACCGCCGGAGTCTCTTGCAGTTGGTTCTTCCCTGTTCCCCACCGTTTTATTTCCCGTTTTTTCCCCGTTTTTTGTTTGACATGTTTTTATTTTCTTGTTTTCCTGTTTTTGTTTTCCCCAATTTTCTTTACCTGTTTTTGTTTCCCGTTTTTGTTTCCCTGTTTGGTTTCCTTGTTTACAAATAACGTTTAAAAGTCGGTGATGATGTTGAGGGAAAATAACCACGAAGGAAAACTCTGATCTTGTCCTTCCAGTCCCGTGAGTTCTGTGGAGGTGTGGCAGAGGTGTGGCGGTGTGTGGTGGAGGTGTAGGTGTGGCGTACGTGTTAAGGGCAGGCTTCTTTAGCTCCTGTGGTAGGGAAATAAAGTGTATATACCTATATATACTTACCGTAATTTAGAGACTTATAAGATCACCTGAAGATTAAGCACCCTAGCTACCCACCCACCCACCCCCTACACACCCACCCCCACCCCGCTACACCCCACCCCACCCTACACCCACAAGGTTCTCTAATGACTGAAGTGTTACTGCCTGAAACAACATGGGTTTGGTTCACTTAACTCAGGGTCTCAGGTCTGAACTTTGTCGGCGATAGAAACTTTATCTATAAACAGAAACGAAAAGTTGTGTTCTCTTGGGCCTAACTGTCTCTTGATGCTTCTCTCACTTATAAAGACTTATTCTCCTACTTTACTACAGTTACTTATACTTTACTATACCATCTTATACCTTAATACCTACTTTATTTCACGGTTAGGTTAGGTTAAGGTAACGTTGAAGGATGGAATTAGGTTAGGTTAGGTTAGGTTAGGTTAAGTTAATTAGGTTAGTTAATCAACAGGTAAAAATAAGCTGGGGTGACAATTCTTCATGTGATCCGAAAAGTATTTGAAAGTTCATGATAAAGAAAAAACAGAGAGAGAGAACACACAACACAACCCTCCACCCCACACATCCCCAACATCACACCCCCCGACCCCCCCACACGCTAAATTAAAATTATCGTCTTGGGTGAAACTGGTGAATGGTGATGCAGATAACAGTCCCGAGGCACCAAGAGTTATCACCAGGTCTCGAGCAGATCCAGAGATGCAATCTGAATCTATTTTCCAGGATCGTTATTTAAGATTCGTCTAAGATGAAAGATTCTGCCTCTCTCTCTCTCTCTCTCTCTCTCTCTCTCTCTCTCTCTCTCTCAGTTTTCTCGTCCTCAGATCAACTCAAAATACTCACACTAAAATATTCTACTGGATTTTCTATTATAAAAGTTACTGGGGGTGGCGTGGGTGGCGGAGGATGGCGGGTTGGTGATGAGGGGGTGAGGAAGGGTGATTGGTTAGGTTAGGTTAGGTTAGGTTAGGTTAGGTTAGGTTGGGTTAGGTTAGGTTAGATTGTACTCACTTCACAATTGTTTTCTGTCTCTTGTCCTTCCAGCACTTACCGCCTGCCGCTGTTTTAAGAGTTCATTAACCTTAAGTACTCAGGAACTTAAATCATCGTACTCGGGGTTAAATCATCATACTCAAGGGGTTAAATCATCATACTCAAGGGTTAAATCATCGTACTCAAGGGTTAAATCATCGTACCAAGGGTTAAATCATCATACTCAGGGGTTAAATCATCGTACTCAAGGGTTAAATCATCGTACTCAAGGGGTTAAATCATCATACTCAGGGGTTAAATCATCGTACTCAAGGGGTTAAATCATCGTACTCACGGGTTAAATCATCGTACTCAGGGGTTAAATCATCGTACTCTAGGGGTTAAATCATCGTACTCACGGGGTTAAATCATCGTACTCAAGGGGATAAATCATCGTACTCTAGGGTTAAATCATCGTACTCACGGGTTAAATCATCACTCACGGGGTTAAATCATCATACTCACGGGGTTAAATCATCATACTCACGGGGTTAAATCATCGTACTCACGGGGTTAAATCATCGTACTCACGGGTTAAATCATCATACTCACGGGGTTAAATCATCATACTCACGGGGTTAAATCATCGTACTCAAGGGGATAAATCATCGTACTCTAGTTAAATCATCGTACTCACGGGGTTAAATCATCGTACTCACGGGGTTAAATCATCATACTCACGGGGTTAAATCATCATACCACGGGGTTAAATCATCGTACTCACGGGGTTAAATCATCGTACTCACGGGGTTAAATCATCATACCACGGGGTTAAATCATCATACTCACGGGGTTAAATCATCATACTCACGGGGTTAAATCATCATACCACGGGGTTAATCATCATACTCACGGGGTTAAATCATCATACTCACGGGGTTAAATCATCATACCTACGGGTTAAATCATCGTACTCACAGGTTAAATCATCACTCACGGGGTTAAAATCACCTAAACTGTACCTAACCTAACCCAACCTAACCTAACCTAACCTAACCTAACCTAACCTAAAATTCAATTCCACAACTTGTCTTGATTACTTGTGTTTTTGTTGTTGTTTTGTGAGGCTTTTGTTTCTCTTGTTTACTTAATGCCTTTTTTTTTTTACTTTTTTTTTTATCCTTTCGTCTGTTTTCTCTTCACTTTAGTTGACCGTCTTGTTAGTGTCACTGTGTTTAGCTTTTTTTTTGCTGTTGCTTCAGTATACTTCTCTCTCTCTTTGTGTTTATATATTACTGTTATTGTAAAGATTATGTAAAAAAAGATAAAAATAAATCCTTCAGAAGTTTTTGGGACTTTTCAATTAATCTGCTGAAAATGACACAACATAACACTGATTTAATAGAGTGAGAAATGCCCCACTAAAACAGGCTTATGTAAACTGTATTTAACT